TTATCCAATATCTTTTGGGGGCTCTCTCTTTTGCCCAATTTCCAAAATAAAGGGGAATCCCCCCAAACCCTCCAAAAAAACTGTCATAATTAATTTTGGGGTTTTATGGTTGCGGGCTATAAATATTTTTAAAAAAAACTTTATATAATTAAAAAAATTATAAATGGCCGGTTTAACAAGCAAAAAATTCCCGTCAAAAGTTTTCCCGTTCCCTTTAGGACTGAACCCTTTTTGGCCAAATTTTTCCCGCTTTACCAACTCCAGAAATTCCTTTCTTGCGTTTGGAAAAGGGGGGACGGAAACCCCTTCAATTTCCCATAAACAAAAAAAAGGGAACACTACCCTCTGGCATTTCCCCATGATCCCCTTTTTAAAAGGGGGAGCGGGGGGGGAAAAAAAAATTTTTCCCAAAATTTTTTAAAAAAGAACAAGTCCCGGGGGAAAAAAAAGAATTTCCCTTTTTACTAATTTTGGGGGCCTTTAAAACCCGGCTGACCCCCAGGGAAAATAGCAAAATGCCGTCTGGGTAAAAATTTTTCAAATCACCCTCAAAAAATTATATAATTTGTTTTTAAAAAGAAAAAGAAAATTTCCCCCCTTTAAAAATTCAAAATTTTAAAAATTTATTTTCCCCTGAAAACCAACGGGTTTTTTCTTTAAAAATTTCCACCAACGGGAAAAAACCTTGTTTTAAAACAAAAACCCCGGGGAAATTCTTTCCCCCGGAATTTTTTTTTAATCAGTATCCCTAACCCGGCAATATCCCCGACCTGTGCCCGGGCCCCAAAGGGAATTTTGGGGGTAAATTTTTAAACAAAATAAATAGGGGATTTCCAAAAAATTGCACTTTGGTTTTTTTTATTGTAAAACTGGCCCAAACAATTTTAATTTAATTAATTTTTTCATATACGAGCCCTAAAAATTTTGATGACCAAATTTTCATTTAAACTTTAGCTTAAAAAAGTGAAAGGGGGCCCACTCAATGACGAAAATTTATAAAAAGATCCCGGGAAAACCGGGAAAAGGGGTTTTTTCCGGACCCCCTGTTTTGACGTGTGGGCCCGTTAAATAATTTACTTCTCGTATTTTAAAATTGGCTACGGATTTTTAAAGTAATTAAAAAGGGAAAAAAAAACCCTGATATATTAACCCTTTTTTTGTCAACATTCTTTCTTGAAAAAAAGGTGTCAATGATGATGTTTTTACAAAAAAAACCCCAACGAGAAAAATTTTTTTTGTTACTTTTAAATTTTATTTCTTTTTTCCATCTGGGGGTCAATGGCTTTTTGCGTTGGGTCAAAAGGGGTTAAACGCGTAAATTGAGGTAAAACCAAATTAAAATAGCCCCCCTCTTTTTATGACGACTAGCCCCCCAAAAGCGAAAATTTTAATTTTTAGGGGAAAAATTAATCAAAGGGTTCCTTTATGCAAAAGGCCCCCGTCAGAAATATATAAAAATTTAAAATAATAATTAAAATTTTTTATAAATTTTAAAAATTAATTAAAAAATATAAATATTATAAAAAATTTTAAAAAAATAAAAATATTGGAACCAATTTTATGCTAAACGGGGGCCTTGGTTTTCAAATGAAATAAAAAATTTTCCCTTCTAAAAATCTTCTTTCCCGGGTTAAAAAAATAACAAAAAAATTATTTTAAAAAAAATTTTTTAATATAATATTTCTAAAAATATTTGAAATTAAATCCCAAAAGGAAAAAGGGTATAGAAAAAACCAAAATTTATTCCCCTTTCATATCATTTTTATTGTACCAAAAGGTAAAAGGTTGGGGGTTTAAAAAAACAAAAGGGACAATAAAAGGGGAAGAAAAAATTTCAAAACCGGCCAAAAAAAAAACTCCCCTTTCGGCCAAATTAGGGATATATAAACTATTGAAAATTCCTCGACTCTCAACCCCAGGGAAAATTCAAAAGGAAAAGGTAAGGATTTTCACAAATTTATCCAGAAGATTACAAAAGAAGAGTAACCGTAAAAAAAAGTCAAAAGGGCCCAAATTTATTTTGCCAACCCTACCTTTTTCTATTTTTAATAATTAAAAGAAAATTACCCGTTTACAATAATTTTTCTCTTTAAATCCCCCTTGTATTGTAAAAACCCTTCCTTGGGTTTGGGGTTCCAATTTTTCAAATGAGGGTTTAAAACTAAGTTTTTTAAATTTTAAGAAAGTTTTTAAAAAACAAAAAACCCAAAAGGGGGCGACAGATATGGAAAAATTTTTAAAATTTTACTAAAAAAAACACTAAAATTTACAAAAGGAAAAAAAACCAAACCATAAAACCAAAGAGTACAAATGTGCGGGAGAAAAAAGAAAAATCCGTGAAAAACCCCGCTTTATTAAAAGATACAGTTTCCCAAACAAATTCCCCAAAACAAGGGCTTTTTGTATTTTATATTAAGTCTATTTTTAAAATTTTTCCCGGTATTTTATTTGCCTAACCATACAAAATACTTAAACGTAGGGATGGTCTTGAAGACGGGCAAAAATTTTTTTACAAATATCAACAAATTATCTGGTCAAAAATAATCCATATTTTAAAAAAGCCCAAAAAAAAAAACTTCATCACTTTATTTTTTAAATGCCCCTTAAATGTTTTGCGGAAAAATATTTTATCATTAAAATAAAGGGAATTTAAAACGGAAAACACTCGTATCGAAGGGTGCACGCATTAGTTTTCCCTTTCATTTTTTTTCCCCGCCCCACCTGTATTTGATCTGCAATCTAAGTCTCTGATCGGTATAATTATTTTCCGGTCCATTTTGACCGATTCTTTTTAAATATCTTTTCTATCCAAAACTAAAACTACCTCTTTAGATAGAATTTCGGAAAATTTTTCAAAGTTTTAGATCATTTTTTAACTTCTTTTCATTTAACCCGTTTGTTATATAAAAAACATATATCCAAAGGCTATACAAAAAAAAAGTTTTTTCTATAGAAATAGGGTTCAGCAATAATTTCCAATTTTTAAATTTAAAAATTGGGTTTTTTCTTTTAAAAATGCCCCGGGGTGCCGGGCAATCTTAAGTTTTAATTTAAAAAAAATGCATCATATAAATTTTTTATTTCCCCTTCGTGATAAAAAAAACCAAAAATCAGCAAAATGGCGCAGGGGATAAAGGGAGTTTATTTCCGGGGATTTGTAAAATCAACTTTTTTTTTTGAATGCACTTTAAAAGAAAAATTTTTGATAGGTTTACTAAAAGAAACAAAAAAAAAATTTTGGGTAACCTCGTCCTGAAGTTCCTTAAAAACGTGCAAAAAGAATTCTATTAAAAAAAATTTTAAGGGATTTCTTTAACTGGGTTGGGCAAACGGAAAATTTTTCAAAAGATCGCGCTTTTACCTTATGTAAAGGGCACACTTAAAAATAACGCCCGTCCTTGGGGTTTTAAAAAAAAACACACAACCATCAATTACTTTTTCCCGTCAAAAAAAAACAATTTTTTAACATCAATTTAGTTTTTTTTATTTACTGTCTGAAATGTTTATCATTACATTGCTTTCCTTCTTTTCTAGACGTAATGCTTGATTAAAAACAATTAAAAAATGATGCCAATTTATGGTATCCCTTTTTCACAATATCAGAAGTGCAAACAAATTTCTAATATTTATATGTAGAACTAATTTAAATGTTTTTAAATTGCAACTTTTGACCTTTACGTCGACAATTTTCGTAAAAAAATAAAGAAAAACTTAAAACTTTGAATAAATTTTAGCGTTAAAAATTCTTATTTAAGTAAAGACTATGATCGATTAACTCATAAATTTACCCCCGCAATTGTATAATGCATGTTCTCTAAGTTCCATAGCCTTCTTGACAAAGCAATAATACGTTATGTTTGCTTACCAAAAAGGAATCAAACGAATTAGATACGTAAGTACAAAGTGAAACGCCCCCTTATTACCGAAATATCTAAGCAAAGAACTAAATGAAATGTTTTGGCTTCATCCAGTATTTATACAGAATCTTTACCTAAATAAATAGAAAAACAGACGTTCCTAATTCTAATCTCTACATTATATTAGTTTTATGGCAGTTATTTACTATAACATAAACATTGATCATATACGTACTTCACGATTCAGCAATAATAGAAAAAATGCGAAAAATATTTTGTAATGAAGAACTACTTAATTAAATGAATACTGATGAAATATGATAATTAAAAAGTTGCAGATAAATACGTTACTTTCTCCTACTTTCCAATCAATAATTATTAGTTTTACAAACATTTTTTTAAAAACCATTTCCATCATTATAGAAGTATCATGTTTGGAGGAGATGTCACAGATCGGGAGACGTGCAGCAACACCGCTGGAAATTGAAGTTGTCACCGTGGCCGATTATAGCTTGTTCAATAAGTAAGCCTGTTATTCATTCCTCCTTGATAATCATCCACACTTGCTCTATCGTTTGTATAATTAAATTAGATTTATTTAACAAGCATAGATAAGCATGCTTGATAGTTTTTGTCCATGAAAAAAATGTTTTCCAACAGAATTTGATAATAATAACTTGAACTTTCCAGTACCGTCCATGAACAGGCTCAATCAAACCGAGCCTGCAATATTTTCAATTTTGTCGTGTTGGGCTTTCTTTCGGGATTCTGTATTTCTATATTTTGTTGCATTCTACGTACATGCATGTACATGTATAAAACAAAACAAATAGTTTGGTTCACTTTGTTGTTTTGATGACCTGCATTATTCAATAATCGAGACTTATCACAAATCAGTAAACACAGATTTTGTCAAGGAAGAGAACATTAAAATAAGCTTAGAAAGTTATTTTACAGATGGTATGAGCTGTTGGACCCATCACTTCCTGAGGCAAAAAAGATAGAAATTGCAAAACAAAATCTTACTACATGGCTCGGTACAATGGTCCATTCGGTCAGTTTATCTCATTTTTTTTAAAAATTTCAATGAAGAGAATAATGTTTTTCTATTTATATGGCTCTTGAAATACTGGCTTTAGCTACATAAAACTAGATTAACCAACCCGGAACATTGAGGTACCATGTAACCTCATTTTTGAAATCAAAACAAACATTGAATAAACGAAATTTTGTATGGAACATTCATTTATAAGCAGTATTTCTTGCAAATTAAAAAGTCTAAATTTAAAATAAACTTGTAACAGATCTTTATAGGATACAACATTTTGTTTGTTTAAGTTGAAAAAAGTAAAATTTTGAAGGGCAGTTTTTCAACCTGCATTATGATAATTATCAATGTTTTCTTTCCAAGGCAAACCTCGTTTATAAAAGACTTGAGGCACATGGACTTTTTATTTCAATAAAGATTGTAGACTTACTCATCATGACAGTAAGTATTATCTTATGTTAATAAATCCAGTTAAACTCGTAAACCCTCGGTATTTTCCATCACAATCCGTGTCCTATAAACATCAAAGTGTGACGATATAAATTTTACGTTTTGTTTTAAATGTGTTACGACCTTTATATTGACCTTAAATAAAGTGCTTCTGTAATAACATTCAAAGCTGCAGTGTTCTTTGCCATTGTTATGCCGTTATCTATAGTGACTCAATCCGCTTTAAAACTTGTCTTTGCTAAAACCTTCTATTTTGTACTTAATTAAAGCTTTCAAAATTGTGCCAGCCTTGATTATCTTTATGCGTTTAAAAATTTTTAAAATTTAAACAAACTCCCAAAAATGTTTCTAAAAATTGGCCGGTTTTAAAACCCCTGGCCCTTTAAATTTTAAAAAGGTAAAAAGATAAAATTGTAAAAGAAAATTTTAAGTGGCCCAAGTTTTAAAGGATGTTTTTACCCCTTTTGGAAATTTTAAAAATTAGAATTTTTTGATTTAAAACAGTTATAAAATTTATTCCCGGGGAAAAAGGTTTAAAAATTTTTTAGATTTAAAAAGTTTAAAAAAATTAATTTTGTTTTTCCTTAAAATTAAATCTTTAAACAAATTTAATGGTTTTTGGGGGAAAAAAATTTTATTGAAAAAACATATGTAAGAAAAAAACAAAAATAAAGGGTTTAAAAAAAAATTTATGGGCCCTTGCGCTTTTAGTTTTAAAAAATTACCTATTTTTGTGACCCCTCTAAAGGGGGGGAAAAGGTTTTTAAAAATTGGTCCGTAAACTAGGTTTTTCCCCCATTTTTTTTATGTATTATCAAAGGGGGGAAAAGGGCCCCCGGTTTTAAAAGCAAATTTGTTTAAAAATTCGGGCCCACGTAAAAAACTTAACAGTTTTTGGGGAATATAATTTAAAAAATTTTAAGGGGCAAATTTTTTAAAAAGTATCTAAAATTGTAAAAAAAAAAAAAGACCCGATTATTATCAGGCATTCAGAAAAGGAACCCTTTTTATATCTAGCTGCATAAGATCGTATCCCTTATACAATAATGTATCAATTCTTTCATTCTTACATGTTTTTATTATATGCCGGAGTTTAAATAGATCTATATATTTATTACAGACAGAGGCAGATTCCCCTTGGACAGAGACTACAAAGTTCAAGGTCAACGACACGTACTTCATTGACCCAGATGTTGTCCATTCACACTTCAATCCAAAGTCTATAGAATTACAGAAAACCATACCGCACGACCATGCCATGTTACTTACAAGGTGATTACTTAAATTATAAAAAAAATTAACAAACGCATTGTCAGTTCTTATCTGCTTCCAAAGTGTGTAACAAAAATAAAAAGGAAAAGATAACAAAATATCATAGGGACACTGTTTTCTATTATAAACCCACAGAAATCTTCAAATATCTAGTTCCGGGTCTTTGTCTAGAATACTAGTCAAAGATTAGTGCTTTTAAAATGATACCTATTGCAACTGACACAGAAACAGGCAAAGTCACGTGAGGTAAAATGAGTTAAAAGCACACAAAAAATCTGATTGTCACCATTACACCTATGCAGACTATTTGAATGAATATTACTAATAAATATTCCTTTACAGGTACACGTTGCTACACGGAAAAAATGGCACTGAAAAATATGCAGGTATGTTTAAATGTGGATGTAAGTGAAAATATACGATGTCGTGAAAAACTCTAGACTTCTAATATAGGTGCTCTATATTAATTGTCTTGTGTAAAATTTTGCTATTAAGTTTGGGTTTTATTTTTCTAGATTTTGATTTCTACATCTTTAAAAGAATGCGTTAGATTTTTCGGGGGTAAGCGTCGATTCTATGCATAAACTAATTTAGTCATTTACCGGAGGGCAAGACACTAGTAAAACATAGGTTTTACGTTCTCACTCGGTAAAATGCAGAAATCTTACAGGTAACGCATACCTCGGTGCTGAATGTAAGCCAAACAGCCAGTCAATAGTTGAAGATAGTGAGACAATGTATACAGCTCAAACAATTGCACATGAACTTGGTCACAGGTACGTTTAACTACACATGAACTAAGTCACAGGTATATTGATTGCACATGAAACAGGTCTCATGTATTTTAATTGCACACGAACTAGGTCACAGGTATGTAAATTGCACATGAACTAGTTCTCAGATATGTTAATTGCACATGAACTAGTTTACAGTTATGTTAATTGCACATTAACTTGTTCGCAGTTATTCTAATTGTACATGAAATAGGTCACATGTATGTTAATTGCAGATGAACAAGGTCACAGGTATGTTTTGTGTACATCAACTGGGTCCCAGTTATGCTCATTGCACATGAAATAGGTTCAAATTATGCTTATTGCACATGAGTTGGGTCACATGTATATGAACATCAAACGTGTCTTCTATCGTTCTTCAAAATGTAATTTAAAACGCGTATTTTCACAAGAGAGTTTTTTTTTTTCAATTTTCGACGAAGGCATGGCTACAGTATACAAAATAGGTTATACATTTCCTGAATTTTCACAGTTTGTTGTCGTTGGTTCTTTAAAATGACCTATGACTTTCTTCAATTACCGGTTTGCTACAACATACACACTGTTCAAAACGTTAATGTTTTGCCCTTTTACGCTAAAATCTTTTCAAGTTTTCTTATTTTGTTTTCACAGAGTCACTTGTATTGTTAGTATTTCTACAATTTTTTTTACGTTTTTGGCGTAAATCAAACAAGATATGATTTTTTTTTCAATTTTCCCAATATGTATTTCCTTATTTCAGGATTATTGGTGTTTAATCATTTTCGTTTTCAGTTTAGGTTGTGAGCACGATGGCACAAACAACACGTGTAAAGTGGGTCTGGGTTATTGCATGGAGGCATCTTATGTTAAAAACAACAAGAATAGATGGATATTTTCGTCATGCTCCATTGATTACATCCAAGAATTTGTTAACAGGACAAATCGGTAAATCTTATATATAAACGTAGATAACCGATATTTACACTATAATTCAGAGACATTCCCTCTAATGATGTTTTAGATAACAGATTATGAAAATTGAAACAAGTAAACGGTAAGTCTTCAATTTGTACTATTAGAAGCGATGTGATGAAACAAATTTGGGGTCACCATCCTTCTTTTCGTTCATGTACGTTATTGTATTGAGGCTTCCTTGGGGCTAAGAGTGAGGTTTGGCGCGCCTAAAACCGGTTTAAACTCCCCAGTGGTTTAACTACCACTGACCGTTCCAAGGCGGTACCCCTTTGTGTTCCTTCACGTGTTTTTCTTGTCTGTAATGTTACTTGTTTTTGGATGTTTACATGTTTTGTGATTTCTGTCTAGTTGGATTGTCGTTGACGGTAGGTATTTTCTCTTCCCCCCCTTCCATTTTTAACCCCCCTTCCCACCTTTTCACCCGTACAGCCCTTTTCCCTTTAATTTCCTTATGGGCCTGTTTTTGTTTATATTATTTCACATTACGTGTCTCGCCCTTGTGTCCGCTCCGGGTGCTTGTTTGGTGCCTTCTGGGTGTCCTGCTTGGGTGTGTCCGGGGGCGGCGTCCTGTGAACGTTGCCTATGCCTTGTTGATCTTTGTTCTTAATATTTTCCTATATTAAAAACAACAAGAATAAATGGATGTTCTCGTCATGCTCCATTGATTACATCCAAGAATTTGTTAACCGGACAAATCGGTAAATTCTATAAAAAATATCGGTATCATAGATGTATACTCTAACATTTTCTATAGTTTTTACCTTTTGTATAGGCTGATAACGAAAATGTAAACTAGTGAAAAGTGAGATGTCTTCAATAAAAAATCGCTGTTATGAAACAAAATGAGGATCACTATCCTACTTTGTTCAGTAATCTTAGTGAGCTTTGTGCTCTTTTTATGTCATTTTACACAGAAAATAACTCGAAATCAAGCATACCCTCAACTTATTTCTCTTTCCTGAAACAAAACCTATAAAATGAAAAACATTCTTTCGTGAAGTAAATGTACTGTAAACTTGCACATGAACGTAACTTAAACTTACAAAATGTCTAAAAATGTGTTGCTATTTTATTTTTTTTACAAAAAATATATTCTTATGACCAAATCTATGAACTTGTTATTTATTTTTTCAAAAAGAGTCCACAAGAACTGCTTAGCAAAAGTCAACGACAACCATCCTAAACCAGTACTAGCGTTAGCCTCACAAAAGTGGGTAGGGGAATTATATACTGTGGACAAACAGTGTATCATTTCCCAAGGAAAAGGCTCGTTTATGTGTAGGGTATGAACAAATGATATACTGAACAAAATAATAAAATAACTTAAAAGTAAATCGTGATTTTTTACGTAGATATCATTTGTGAATCCATTTTCGTATAGTATTTAAATATGTTATATGATGTTTATGCCGTAATTATACCGAATTAACGAAGCTAATTTACCGATTTAAATTAGCTAATTTACCCAGTGTTGCCTCTTACTTCACTTCAGTGTTGTTATATTTTTCTGGTCCTTCGGGATCATTGATGCCAGCACTATTAAGTGTTTAGAATTGAGTACCGCTCAAGCCGGTGATAGGGGGCGTGAGGGATGTTGCATTTTTTCATTATCCCTTACGTACAGACTCAATCGAACCGAGTCTGCAATTCTTATGTTATTTTGTTGTGATTAATGCTTTCGATGGATTACTTTTTTTCCAGATTTTTATGTATGTTTTATCACCTCGTTTTACGTCTTTTTGTGCATTATTTAATTGATAACAGGATATGTACGAAGGGAATTTTACGGAGTTTTGTTTGAAAATGTGGTGCTACAATCCGAAGGATGAGGGCTGTTATATGCAAGATGGTGGAGATGGAACGCCGTGCGCTGCTGGGTCTGTAAGTATGTTGCATGTCAATAAATAATCGAGACACCGGAATGTTTAAAATTTTAATCATGAACTCAAAGTATTTAAAACAAAGGTTCTTTAAATGTCACCTTTAATCAAACACTGATATCAAACAATATTGTCTGAGACATGTCCAACACTGATGTTCTCTTAAAGTTTATCAATTTTCAACGCACCTCCCTGAAACTTACAATGACATTATTTAGCTGAATAAACGGAACGTGACAATGTTTTGATATTTTAATTACAATAGAAAAATTGTAACAATAGCAATAATTTCGAATTTTATATCAGGTTGTAGAAAAACAAAGTGTAATCTTAAACAAATGAAAACAACTGAACGCTTCGCTTTAGGATCTGAAATTCTAATAATCAGCTAATTCATGTTTTTAAGTGATGTTGTTTCTATATGTAAATTAACAATTTTCTATCACAACAACAGCGTGTATAACATTAAATATTAACATCACGATTATCTTATGAGTGCAGTATTGCACAAGAATTGAACTGCGTATCTTTAAAAAAGTCTATATGATCCATGTTTCTTGTGATTTCAGTGGTGTTTATCCAATAATTGTGTGAAGGACCATAGAGCCCTGTCCTCACATGGTATTTAAATGTTTCCTTCTTCGTTACTAAAAGTGAAATATCAAAGAGAGTCAACAATAGTCTTAATTAAACATTATTATGATAAACATTATCCATATTTTGAAAAAAAAATTATTTGACAAATAAATTAAAAAAAAATGATGAATAAAATGAAGAAAAAGGCATAGCCAAATTGTCGTAGCGTTGTCACAGTTATTTTGTATTGAACATAAAGTAATTTACACACTTTCAAATGCAAAATTAGTATCGTACAAACTGCCAATTAGTTTGTTAATTTACCCCAAAAAAGTTGAAGTGTTTTTCGACGTTGCATGTCTGTGATAGTTTCGCTATAAACTTTGATGATATGTTATCGTTATGACAATTTAATCAACCCAGTATATTTTGACAACTACTAAAACTTGTATTGGTTTAATTTGATATATGTTACAGATGACAAATGTCCTTTCGGTGACGCAGAAGGTGTGGTGCATAACAACCTAACTTGTAAACAAATTGCTGCAACTCGTCCTAATGATTGTTTACAATATAGAGTCAAACAGAAATGTTGTGCTTCTTGTAAAACTGCTCAAACAACGCCAGTACCTGTTGATGACCAATGCAAGGAGAATTTGGGTTCTGACTCATACTTTTGCAGGGTACACCACCTTTATACACTTCTTTTTCTGCCTAATTACATGGAACTCCACATAGAAATCACTTGGTATCCACAGGAAGAGGACGCTTTGATGTGATAGTATCCCCTACCGATCCCACACTCTCTTATACAAAATAAAATGGATTTGGACGGGAATTTCGTTGGTGATTGTCATCGAGTGTTTAGTTGTAACAGATGAATGACATTTCCTACGCAATTTTGCCACCCTTTATCAACTCAGTTGTAGAAATATCAATGTTTACATGAATCAGATTGTGTCAAATTTTAAGTTACTTGCTGTTTCAGTGTACTTAACACTGTTTAATATGACAGGGATCATATAAGTATCTATAATACTGCTTTGATCGGGACAAAGTTTTTTTATAATATATATAGATTTGGCTGGCTGAGTTATGACGCTGAATGTAAAATCAAAGCACTGAAAGTGCGTAGAAGATACCTTTGTATTACTAATACTATATATTGAAAATTGGCTTATAGTGTCATATAATTGTTGTTATGGATAGTAAATGTTGAAATTGACATATTTTTGGAATTGTAGCAGGGACTGGAGGGGGGAAGATAATATCAGGTCAAAGCGTCTTATCCTTGTGTTGGTATCATTGTGAAAATGATTCGTTAAAAATGATTATACTTTCCACGGCTCGGTTCGGGCTGATCGAATTGGAAGGAATCAACTTTTAGGTGCCCAATTAACGTTTCCATAGATCGAAGGTGTATGGCATCAATGATTAGGTTTGTGTAAAGTATCATTTAATCCATGTCAAAAAAGTAAAATGACTAACATTTTATTTGCTGTTCTTGCAGAGCGCCATCTGTACGTGATTTTAACAGAATCAGATTGTGTCAAGATTCAACTGTGAATATATGAATAATTGTAGACAGTATGGACAAAAATATAAACAGGGCTAAAGTGATATAAACTCAAGCAATCTTTTAGTTTAACAATACGTATGTCAAATTCACTGTTATCAATAACAACACCACATTCAATTTAAAAAAAAATAGAATAAATTTTGATAATGCATTTTACAGATAAGCAGGAACGCTGACAGAAAACATTTAAAACGCTACCAGGATGTTGTGTCGACACTTTTGTTTTTGTTTCAAGATTGTTTTTAACAAACGCAAAGTATCTCGTACAATTTACAATTTGACCTAAAACATCCTGCTCATACAATGTTTATTCTATCAATTTCAGTTGTTATATGAAACAAACTTGGAGAGTGGTTCAAGAAGGGATCAAGCATCATCCTACGAAACATTGTGTGAAGCCTTTTACTGCTTCAATACCTCTACAAATGATAGCTGCTCATTTATATATGCATATGACAAAACACCATGTGGACACAAAAAGGTATGTTTGAATTTATTTCATTTCAGATACTAATCGGATTAGTTCTCCTTTTCATTACGCCACAAGTTCGTATATTCTTGTCCAGTTGTGCCTATCTGAAAGTGCATATGCTTTCTTTTGTAGACGCTCATTTAACTTATCGTATTTAGAAAATGAAATGAAATGGCGAAAACTATTATTGCAGATGTTTCAAGTCAGCAAATGCCGATATGCAATGATTGTCATTCCAATGAAACTTCAATATTTTCACACATACTGAAATGATATCAATTTCAACTTTATGAGGTTTTAAAATTTACTTCATATAAGTTTCTACTGTAATCTCTGTGTTGTTACTTAATTTAAATTGATATGATTATGCTCTGGGATTTTGATTTCTTATTCATTAACAGTGGTGCATAGACGGAAAGTGTGTTCAAGATTCTAACGCATCAGATGTGTCCGGTGAGGCTGCTTATATTTAGACATTTATCTACGAAAGTTATCTCTCAAATACTCATATTCACTTGAACAAATTAATGTTGATAAGTTAATATTTGGCACGTATTTCTCCCTTTTATGAGTTTCTAAATAGTTATGTAAAACAAGTAAATTGTTAGAAAATATAAAAGAAATAATTTTATCAATAATATGCTTTTTAAACTTGATTCTGTCTAGCATTCGCCAAAACAGTTATAATAACATCTTAATCATCTTGTCAAAGATACCTGTCCGGTAGGAGACCGTTACAATGACTCATCCGTTTCCTACAACAATATGACATGCGCAGAAATAAGACAGCACGACAACAATTGGGCATGTTATAAAAGCTATACTAATAAGCAATGTTGTGAAACATGTGAAGTTGTCAGAACAAGTGTTAAAGGTAGTAATTTCATATACCTATTAATTCCTATTTTACTATATCAACACTTGTCACATATTTGCTATAAAATTTTCTCGATAACTCGTGCCTTATAATTACCTTTTGATACCAGGTAGGTATCGTATCTGTAAATCAGCCTGGCATTATTGATAAGGAAGTCAGTAGCACTCTCTAATTTTTATTCATAGAATTACTTGTACATATATATTATTGACTGAAACAATTTCAACTGAAGTACTCAAATTGGTTATATAAATGTATATTGAATTTTATTAATATCGATTGGTGTTTCCTGTCTGTCCAAACAACATATTTATAGCTTTTTATTTAAAGTTCCAATAATCCAGGACAGAGGCCTTAAATACACAACAATGAACAAAAGTCTTAAGGATTAAACATGCATTTTAAATATAGTTATTCCTGAAATGAATTTGGATATATTTCATTCTGCAAATGATATTTTATCACGCTACATGAAAATTTTCTCACCATACGTATGTATAATATTCAAATTATTCACATTATTTTGATAACTTATTAGAAACGTTTGTTTGCTTTGTAATGTAAATAACAAATTGTTTATTTTGACAATTTAGTATGCTGTTGAAATATTAAAAACAAAATACGAAAAAGTTGAAGTATAGATAAGTATTTTTTATTTAGAAGGTAAGAAAGATTGTTTTTAAAAGCTCAGTTTTCAACTCAGTTTGTGATATATTTTTTGAAAAGTATATTTTTTTATTTTGTAATTAAGGATGTGAATATGGCGACAAAGATAAGGCATGTAAAGCATTAATAGAGTCTGACCCTTCTAACTGCTATCGAGGTCACAATGCAGCTATATGTTGTTCCTCTTGTAGCAAATATTATAAACCATCACAGAAAGGTACCCATTTACTTTTTTTCCTGTGATTAGTTTTCGACGATCTATTAAAAACTCATTATTCAACTCCATAACATTTATGCATGACATTGTTTTTGGAAAGTATTTGAAACTAACGACAAGTCAAGATAAAGTTTTATTAATAGCGATTATGTTATAACTTTATTTGTTTTCCTATTTTTGAAAATTACATGTTCATACTAAAGGTAACAACATGTAAGGAAACGTGGGCATGACCGAGGAAGGTCCGTACTTTAGCTCCAAATAATCCGTATATATAAGAGTAGTAATTCAATTATATTAGGTGCAATACAATAGTTTATTATAAATGATTATTGCATGCTAATTGTTCATTATGTTCATAATTCTAATATTGTTCATAATATATACATACAATATATTTTACAATGTATGCTTTCATTGTATTCAATGTAACCTTTTAATATTGTTTATAATGTAACATAAAAAGCATACACACAAACGTGTTTTAAACTTACTGGCAACAATGGTTCATAAAAAACACATAAGTTGTTGCTTGCTAGTATTCTTTCTGTGCTTATTATTTGCTTCAGGCTGTGAATATGGCGATAAAGACGTCACTGGGTGTGCAGCAGATATTAAATCCCGTTCTGACAGCTACCAATGTTACGGAAATAATGCAAAAATTTGTTGTAGATCATGTGGACAGTATCTGAATGCATCAAACTCTGGTTAGTAACCTAAAAGAACAGATGAATATATCGGTTTTGGGTTTTTTCAGCTTTTACAAAACATACGTCCAGATTACACATCTTCTTCTATCAACTTCCGGGTAATTCAGGTGTAACAGCAGTAATTTTCGCAACTTTATGGGATACAGTAGTACAGAACCTATTCTGACGTATATGCATGCTGGCCTGTCTCGTCAGTTTATTTCTTCAAGGCTGACATTTAATATTGTTTGAAGGTTGACGGTATTTGGCCGGTGATGCAAGGAAAGTCTTTAGAAAGAAGAATGTCTCTGTTAGAAAACAGAATGTGCAATTCACTTGTTACGGTGGTATATATTTTATAAAATTGAAAGTGAATTGAGTAGATTTCACTTGTATACATTTATTTGTGCCTTAAAATGGTACGAGTGCATTTTACAATGCCCGGATAGTAGATTCGAATGTTCCAGCATTGTCGTACCAAATAAGTTTAATCAAAGTCATGCCGAATTAGTTCTAGCATTGTCATGATTAGTTCCAGTATTGCAATATAATATTCATAATGCCAAATAAGTTCCTGCGATTTCAAACCAATGCAGCTTTAGGAATGTCATATAAACATCTATATTAACTAAGTTTCAGGAATGACTTACCAAATAAGTTTAAGCAGTGATATAAATCTGCCTAGCATAATTGATATGAAAGAAAGGAGCACTCGCTAATCTTTATTCATAGAATTACTTGTAAATGTATTATTATTGAGAAACTATTTCAAATGAAGAACTTGACTTGGATATTCAAATGTATATATATATATCAATTTTCTTAATATCGATTGCTGTTTTCTGTCGGTTCAAACAAGTCTTTAAAGCGTATTAAAGTTTCAATAATCCGAGACAAAGGTCCTGAATACATATCATTGATCAAAAGTTTTAAATTTGATGTTTTTTTTAAATTAAACATGCATTTTTAAGATCAAGTTATTCTTACAATATATTTGTTTATGTTTATTCTGCAAACGATATCATATTACTCTACATGAAAATTCCTCACGATAGTCTGTATAATTTCCAAATCAAATATATATATATATATATATATTATATTTATTACTTAATTAATAGAAAAGTTTAGGTTGCATTTAAATGTATATAACAAATTGCTTATTTTGACAAGTTGGTATGCTGTTGCAATATTTAAAAATAGATAAAATAAAATGAAGTATTTTAAAGTATTTTTTTTTATTTTAATTAGAAGAAAGAGAAAGATTGATTTTAAAAGCTCTGATTTCAACATAGTTTGTGGTATATTTTAAAAAAAATATAATCTTCATTCTTATCTAGGATGTGAATATGGTGACAAAGATAAGACATGCAAAGCATTAATAGAGTCTAACCCTTCTAACTGCTATCGAGGTCACAATGCAGATATATGCTGTTCCTCTTGCAGCAAGTATTATTCACCATCCATCAAAGGTACCACACTAACTGTTTTGTTTTAATCTATTTTTTGACAAACCCCATTATACTTATACGTGGCGATGTATTTGGAAAACGAGTAGTTAATCAATTTTAAGAGGAACAATTATGAGAGGTATTATTATACATGCTTATTGCATGCTAATTGTTCATTAGTTAAAATATTGTTCATAATGAATGCATGCAATAGTTGTACTATGACTTGTATGCTTTCAATATTTTCTATGTAAGCATTTAACATTTTCTTTATAAATTTATAAAACATTCACACACAAACGCGTTTTAAACATACTGCTAAAATGTTTCATTAAAGAATTGAAATAAAATGCTTGCTATTGACATTTGTTTCAGGCTGTGAATATGGGGATAAAGATGTTACCGGGTGTGCAGACCTCATGAAATCCCGCTTACCCGGTTACCAATGTTACGGAAATAATGCTAAAATTTGTTGTAGATCATGTGGACAGTATCTGAATGCATCAAACGTGGGTTAGTAACCTAAACGAACAATATGAATATCTCATTTCTGATTATCTGAAGCGTGCATAGAAACACAGTTTCGGGTTACCCTGTTCTTCTACCAATTTCAAATCAATTTAGATATAACAGCAGTTATTTGCGTAAATCATGGGATTTAAGAACAAAATACTTACCAGAAGTATACAATTTGAACGAAAACTCATGTTGGCCACTTTTGTGCATTCAGCACAAAATTTCTTCTAAACTGCCATTCTATAGTGTTAACTGGTTTACAGGCAACTGTCGGACATACACGAAAGGTCTCTGCATGACATCAGAATTGTTTTTTTTTATAAAAAGATACTTCCAATGTAAGTGTTACAATTTTATATATTGCTAAATCAATATTAGTTAGTAGATTTAACCTGTGCCTTCATACAAATATGCTTTGAAATGGTAACGAGTGCATATTACAAGGCCAGGAAGAGGATTGGAATATTCAAAAAGTGTCATACCAAATTATTACAAGCAATGTTCAGATTATTTATAGTAAAAGGTATACATACTAAACCATTTTTCTTGCACTGTATCATCCTATAGGTTGTGAATATGGCGATAAAAGCAACTATTGTGCGACTCTGATAGCATCTAAGGCAGATGCATACCACTGTTACGGAGGAAATGCCGATGTTTGTTGCGGCTCTTGTGGACAATACTATAACCCTTCTCACAAAGGTATTATTTTTGGCAAAAATACTTTTGATATGCTTTTATACATGCATATTGCAAAGTTTCAAAGGGGATTGGTTTGCACTGAGCACATGTGTTCCCCAAATACCTTCAAATATTGATAAAAACAATAGAAATGTATTTATTTGTATAGTCATATAAAATATTTCTTGGGAAAACATATTGAATGATATTGAGGTAAAAATTACACAATGCCTGCTTACTGTTACAATTTACTCATTGACACTACTATTGTGCTTATTGGTACAGTCACTATGCATGCTTGTACTTTCATCACGCTTGTTGACAATAACACACTGCCTGTTCACTGTTACAATGGAGGACTTGCGGTTTGAAATTCCTGGAATTCCACAAATTAACGTGGGTGGGGGATCCCGGGATCTAGGATCGTATTAGATATAGAAGGAAAACTAATAAACTATATATGTGTAATGATTATTTTCGTAATGAAAGGCGATTTTAAAAAACGTTAAGTTCTTATTTTTTAGTGTATGTGATGAACGGTAAATTAATTAAACTTAGGATATAAATAGAGCTATTAATTAACAAACTTAAATTGCGGAAATCACAATACTTATAATTATATGCCTAATTAATTTGAAAAATCAAAATTGGTCAAATCCCGGGGTCCTTATATGTTTTAATACGATCCCAGCTTTTCTGATAACAATATTCTTGAACTGGTCAATGCCCGGGATCTCTATATTTCTAATACGATCCCGACTTTTCTGAAAACTATATTCTTGAACTGGTCGATTCTCAGGATCCCTATATGTTTTAATACGATCCCGGCTTATTAGAAAAATATCTGTAAATATAAGATGATACTTTGATTATTTCATGGCCCGATCCGTTAGAGCATATGAAGGTTTACAAGATTAAATGAATTTAAACATTTAAGCACCTAGTACTTTTTACCCACCGCCAACATCAGAAATGTGTATAGACAATTTGTGGAAATTTTACGACTGATTTTTTCCATCTGTTTGGGTCTTTAATGGATATTTTAAAAGTCCCACATTTTCCCGGGTTGCAAAGGACTAGTGCATAAACTGACTAGAAGAAATAAATAATCAAGTGGCATAACATTGTCAATGTTTCTTTAGTTGAACACGCTTTCTAAACTTATGTAATTATTAGGGATGGCAACGAATACCAAAATCAATACTCGAGTACTCGGTCATTTTTCCGATCGAGTACTCGATTACTCGGACGATTTCCAATGATCTTTAAATTAAAGTTTTATCACACAATATCAACACCGTCTGCATGCCACTTTCGTTTTCTATTTTAATTCATAGAATTCTTAACTATAAATAGGACTACAAGAAATAGATATAATAAATATAAACATAAGAAATGTCAATTTTGCAGATATCAATTTTTTCCACCACTGCACGTAGGTAGCAAAATACAAAGCTACAAAATAATATTCCGTATTATTTACGTTTTTATAATAAACAAGTTTCGGCTACAAACTGTCTAATAATTTTAAAGGTGATTAAATATCATAAGAGGCCGAATGACGTAAACGACACAGGGCTGTGTAATAATCCCATACACGTGTCAAACTGCGGGTCAAACTGCGGATCGCCTCGTTAAATTTACGATATCATTTTCACACCTCTGCAAGGATGTTTTGATTGCATTTAACAAGTATTTATACAGATACCTGTACATTTCCGAATTTCTGAACTAATCTTTCTAAATCGAAAAAAAGTAGAAATTAAATATTTTTTTTCGAGTAATCGAATATCAATTTTGTTAACCGATATTCGGACGTTCGATCGAGTACTCGGTTAACCGGTTACTCGTTGCCATCCCTAGTAATTATTTTGACAATTTTACTTAACAATGCACAGTTTAATTTAATAATTTTGAACATTTTTCTACTAATACCCGTATTGGTATTGCTTGAAATATGTTATAGATGACAAATGTCCTTTCGGCGAAGCAGAAATTGTGGTGCATAAAAACCTTACTTGTAAACAAATTGCTGCAACTCGTCCAAATGAATGTTTACGACAAAGCGTCAGACAGAAATGTTGTGTTTCTTGTCAAACTGCTCAAACCACGTCAGTGCCGGTTGATGAACAATGCCAGGAGGCTTTGGGTCCCGGATCATACTTTTGCAGGGTAAGGAAAGATAATGAGAAGCGTCATATTAATAACGACCGTCAACGAATAATAAAAACCATCGTTTTTGTTTTCGGCTTTTTTATATTTATATTAGTCAAAAATGTTTGTTGATTAATTCATATTTTATATACTCGATAAAATTTGATTGGCACAAGCGGAATAGAATCAGTATTGTTTAATCTAATCCAATTAAAAAGAAAGTTATATAACAAGCAAAAGCATACATTGCTCCTGCGCGAGATGCAATTTTGTATTTTAATAGAATAACTTTAAGTACACATCACGACGGTGAATTTATGACAAATAGAAGTAAAGAAAATAGTATTATCTTAGCCGGAGTAAGAAAACTACTTCTTATCCATATCATCATCACTTTGACAGGATTGTGATAAAAAATAAGAAAGAAATTGATAAATTTATTCTTTTCCAAAACACAATAAGTAAAACATTTAAAACGCTACCAGATTTTAGTATCGACACACTTTCGTACAGTATATATATTCAAGATTAAAGGTAAACAAATACAATGTTTATCGAACCAAAGATTACAATTTGACTCAAAACATCCAGCTAATAGTTTCTTTAAATTCTGATTTTTATATGGAGAACCCCATTATATAGAACACCATTAATGTCAATCAAAATTTATATTACAGGGTGGACGAAGGTATCAAGTTTCATCTTACGAAATATTATGCGAAGACCTTTACTGTTTTAATGCCTCTACAAATGATAGCTGCTCATCTATATATGCTTATGATAAAACACCATGTGGACACAAAAAGGTATATTTGAATTAAGATTTTATTTCAGATATTAATCGAATGAGTTCTCATTTTCATTACCCCATACTTTCGTTTATTCTTGTTCAATTTTGTTTATTTGAAATTTCTTGTGCTTTGTTTTGTAGACTCTCATTTGACCTTTCATTTTAGTGGATGAATAAATTGGCAAACAGCATAATTGCAGATTTCTAAAATGTGAATGGACAGATATGCAAATATGTTTATTATACGAAAGTATCAATAATTGCACATCTACTGACAAAATGTTGGCTTCATACTTAAGGCGGTGTACGGACATAATCCCCTTCGGACAAAATCCCCTTCATGCATTTTTGTATATCTGGACATAATCCCCTCCATGGGTGGACATAATCCCCTTCATGTGTGAAATTTTGAAGTGGACAAAATCCCCTTCATAAAATTGCTACCTAGGACAAAATCCCCCTCGGTTTATAAAGTGGGTAAGAGAGTGACATACTGCATTATGCTGTGTGGTAAATATCTTAATGTATAAATAAGTAAAAATTATTTCAGCAGAAAAGCACATTCAATTAGCACATTTTAATCACATTAAAATTGCTTTGTTAAAGCATTCATAACAATCAATCAATTAGTACAGTGATCTTGGTTTGATTAAATTATCACTCATTCATCAATAGAAATTGTAACAATGGACAGTATGTATCAATTAGAATTATCAACTTATACAATCAATGAAACAATTATTGGCTAAAAAAAATGTTTTTGATACTAATCAATTTAAAACAATTAAAGAAATTGCCTAATCAAATATGTGTTATGCAGTTGATAATTTACCATAACTTTAATGAAAACTTCTAAACTAAATAAAGGTTAACTATTGATACATAATTATAAATAAAAAAACAAAAGTTCATTATTCATCAATTTTTTAGGGAGTATAGTAATACATTATTCATAAATTTTTATGGAGCATAATAATAATTAGAAACCTATGAAACAAGGGGAATTTGTCCGGGTAGTGAAGGGGATTTTGTCCAGCCTTGCAAAAACATGAAGGGGATTATGTCCACCCATGAAGGGGATTTTGTCCGGATAGGCGAAGGGGATTTTGTCCGAAGGGGATTATGTCTGACATTCACTTAAGGCATATTATGCCTCAGAAATCCAGTTTCTTTAATCGTTAAGAATATTATGCCTCAGAAATCCAGTTAAGAAATTATGTTAATCGTTAAGAAATGTTTATCATGTGTTTAATAATGTTTTAACAATGTTAGATGTTTGACAACTGAAGAATGTAACATTTGTCAGAAAAGTAGCAAATAGTACAAAATATACAGATAGTATTTTGACTTTCATACAAAAAATGCTAATTCACTATCATAATTGTACTAATTTCCAACAGTGCAAACTAAGCAAAAGGTAATTCATCTATGAGGAAAATGAGTATTTATGTTGAAAATGTAAAAAAATACCAAACATAGAAAAGATGAGAAATATAAATTATAGCATATCTGAGGGCATAATAAGCCTTTAAGAATCTGTGGGGCAAAAATATTCTTCACCAAATTTTCCATTACAATCTCTGCGTTCTTTCTGAGTTTTAATTGATTTAATAATTATGCATTGGGACTTTGATTTCTTATTCATTAACAGTGGTGCATAGACAGGAAGTGTGTTCAAGATTCTAACGCACCAGATGTGACCGGTGAGTGCTCATATAAAGTCTTTTATTTACGAAAGTTATCTCTAAAACATTCGTATTTTCTTGAATAAAACAATATTGTTGAATCATAAGCTGTCAAGTCGACAATCAATAATAAGCATGAATTTCTCCCCTTGATGACACATGCTTTCCAACTAGTTGAGAAGAAAAAAATGTTTTAATAACATGTAAAAAATCATTTCATCATTATATGGTACAACACCTGAAGTCAGTCTAGCATTCGCCAAAAAGGTAATAATTACATCTTTATTATATTTTGGAAGATGACTGCCCGGTGGGAGATCATGACAATGACCCATCCGTTTCCTACAGCAATATGACATGCGCGGAAATAAGACAGCACGAAAACAACTGGGCATGTTATAACAACTATACTAAAAGACAATGTTGTAAAACGTGTGAAGACGTCAAAACAAATGCTAAAGGTAGTAATTACATATACTTATTGATTCCTTTTTAAATTTATCAACAATTATCCAGTTTTAGCTGTAAAATTTGCTAGATACCTCTGCCTCATAATTCCTTTTTGTTACGAACACTGGGTAGTATAAAACATCCTGGCATGATTGATACGAAAGTCAGGAGTACTTTAAATTTATCTTTATTCATAGAATTACTTGTATATGTATATGAAGAACTCGTCTTGGATATATAAATGTAAATCAATTTTCATAATGTCTGTTGCTTTTTCGGTCCGTCGTGGCAAGCTTTTAAAAGTTTCAATGATGCGGCACAAAGGTAACACACCAAGGATCAAAACTTTTAAATGTTTGTTTTATGAAACATTTTTAGATATAGTTGTTCTTCAAATTAGTTTGTATATATTTTATTCTGTTAATGATATATTATTACTCTACATAAACATTTTCTCAAGGTACACCTGTATAATATTCATATATATAGCCATAATATTTATTACTTATTTGAAACCTTTGTTTGCATTGTAATATTAATAATAAAGTATTAATTCGACGATTTGGTAAGCCGGTGAAATATCCAAACATCATTTGAATGATTGGTAAGTATAAATAAATACTTTTGTTATTTTGTAGAAAGAGAATGATTGTTTTAAAGCTCAGTTTTCAAATGATTCGGTGGTATTTTGTTAAGAATACATTTTTTTCTTCTTCTTCTTTTTTCTTTCCTTTTTCTTTTGGTTTCGTTTTTATTCAGGATGTGAATATGGTGACAAAGATAAGACATGCAAAACATATATAGATTCTGACCCTTCTCACTGCTATCATAGTGACACTGCAGCTATATGCTGTTCCTCTTGCAGCAAATATTACACACCATCCCAAAAAGGTACTATACTGTTTTGCTTTCAATCAATTTTTGACAAACATCATTATACAACCCCATTACATTTATGCATGATGTTGTTTCTGGAAAAGTTCAGAAACGAGTAGTAAATCAGTCATGAGAGGTAAAATAAAATATATATTTTTAAAGGCTTATTGCATGCTAATTGCTTATTAGTTTAATATTGTTCATAGTGAATGCATGCAATATTTTAACTGTAACTTGTATGCTTTCATTGTTTTCTATGTAAGCTTTTAATATTGTTTATATTTTAAAGTAGCATACACACAAACGCGTTTTTAACATATTGCTCACAAATGTGTGAGAAAAGAAATGCAAAAAAATGCTTGCTTATACTTTTCTTGTTTGTTATTTGTTTCAGGCTGTGAATATGGCGACAAAGATGTCACTGGGTGTGCCGGCCTCATAAAATCTCGCTCTGACGGGTACCATTGCTACGGAAATAATGCTAAAATTTGTTGTAGAACATGTGGACAGTATCTGAATGCATCAAATTCTGGTTAGTAGTTCAAAAGAACAATATGAATATATCGGTTCTGACAATCCTTAGCTTGCATATATACCCATGTTCTGGTTACCCCTCTTCTTCTATCAACTTCGAATCAATTAAAATATAGCAGCAATAATTTTCGTAAATTTATGGATTTCAAAACGAAATACTTTCAGTAAAATACCATCCGAACGAAAGCGCATACTGACCTCTCTCGTGCTATAAGCACTATATTAAATTTGTTCCAATTTTATATTGATTGTTGACCGACAACTGACGGACGAAACAAGGAATCAACATAACTTGTTTTATGAAAAGAGATTTCCAATGCTATTATAACAATATTCTATATTGCTAAATCGATATTATGCAGTAGATTTAACCGATTTATTAATTCAAATGTGTCTTGAAATGATAACGAGTGAATTTTACCAAGCCAGGTAGAGGATTGGAGTATTCCGGAAGTGCAATCATCAAAAGCATCATACCAAAGGGGTACCTGCTTTGGTCAATTTTGTTACAGTAACGTCATACCAAATTCATAATGCCTGAACTTCCCGGAATTTCAAGCAAATATAGTTTCAGAAATATCGTACTAAAATTAATGCCAATTTAGGTTATTTTTTGTGCGTGAAATTCGTTCATGTAAAACACGCATGCTATGTTGCAAAATATAGACAGATATACATAATAATTCATATTGCTTGCACTATATCATCCTATAGGATGTGAATATGGCGATAGAAGCAAAGATTGTGCGGCTCTGATAGCATTTAAGTCAGATGCATATCACTGTTACGGAAGGAATGCCGATGTTTGCTGCGGCTCTTGTGGACATTACTATAACCCATCCCACAAAGGTATGATTTTTGGCAATATACAAACCGCGTAAAATGTTACCTTATTAGATGTTCAGGTGACAATGGAGTCAATTTTCACTGAAAATACCTAAAATGAGATTTTTTGCTTAGTAGAATTATCAACTTATTCTGAACACATTCGTGATTTAATTTTGGAAGCAGTTACTCCAAACAATGAGTTTTTAAACGTTTTAAAACGGTACCTTTACCATTTTTATCTGCTATTTGCGTAACCTGTCAATTATCGATAACGCTCCGCCCCTTGTTGAGGCATCAATGAGGTAAGTCGGTAGTTCCATATATCCGTGAATTACCGGTCCATATTGGTCCATACTACTCGTAATACATGTATCGTACAAGTACTAATATCTCAACATGATATCGTCTACCTTTTATTTAGACTTTTTTGATAAATTAGGAAATTGTCGGCAAATGTACATAATGAATGTACAAAAATAATTAAGGGATTGATTAAAAAATGTAATTGCTAAAATATCCATAATGTGTAAAATATTGATGTGTCCCGTTAATCTGATAGATATTACATTGAGTTTATGGACTTTTGTACGGATTCAAGGTCTTGCTTCACATTCAACCTCGTTTTCTTACCATGTCAAGTAAAACAACAACAAAAAACAGACAACATTTTTTATGTGAACGCCTATATGACTTGTTGTAAGGTGTCCCTGACAAATTGCTAAACCATTTTTACGATTGTATAAGGATGATTATTTCTCTATGAATCAATAAAAAACGGTATTAAAATATATTATCAGTGAATGCTTTGAATAAATTGTTCGCCGGTAAATCGGACACATTACTAATAAACCTGGGACAAAGTATGAAATTTATTGTATATCCCAGTAGAAACTGGATCTCTATGCCGTGCATAGATGATATTCATGATAATAGAAGTCAAGAATATCAGATCATAATGATCGAGTAATACCTTTTATTTCTATTAAAATATGTGAAGCATTTATATCAATTTGGTGGAAAAAATATATAATATCCCGCTCTTAATAATTCATCTTCCACGGACTTTAAACGACTGTCTGAAGCTCAGTTTTTTTTGTTATTTTGATTTATATTTCAACGGAATTTCATACACGAATAAACAGGCAGAGTGACACTGATATAATATAATAATAATGCTGATGATACTAATAATAAATTTCAAAAGTGAAACAATTAAATACCCCTCTAGCTGTGCGCCAATACGTTCCATTTACCCATACCGAGTGCCTCAAATTTACCGATAGTCACGTGACATGTGCGACAGATACCAGACGGACAGTAAATCACAATAAAATTTGAAGAAATTTCTGCTATAATTTGATATTAATCAGCAGCTTTTTAATTGGTCAGATGTCAGATGTCACTGGGTCATATCGGATGCCGATATCGGGTACCAACTTGCAGCCGACTTTTTACCTTCATTCATAATAAGCTTTTCTATTTCTTACAGCATATTGGTTTGCTTTCCTTAACATATAACAGAACATATTTATTTTGCAATTATTACATCAGCAAAATACATAATATATTTTATAATTTACACATACATACTTCAATGTTTAAAAACCATGTATGTTTACTTAACGATTTTTCCTTGCTAACACACATAAAAATTTAAACATTAATCTTTACATGTTTCCTATAAAGATCAGTCAAAATTAAATTGTTTTAACAAAAATACTCAAGTCATGTGACTGGCATAAACAACCTTGCTATATTCATACTTGTTTTTGTTTAGATAAAATAAGCTCAATGGCATTTTTCTTACTTGTTCCTTTGCTTTTTAATATCCTGTAGACTTTAAATTTGTCTAGAAAGTGTCAAGCTGTTATCTCTGATATATTTAGTAACTGTATTTTAGATTTTGCACATTGAGTCATACTCAAGTTATTACGAGTTTGAGTAAAAGTTTAAAAGAATAGCTGACTTTTTCACATTATCATGTTGAAGGTTAACAGCATTTTATAGTTTGTACATGAGTTAATAATGTCAAGTGTCAATTGTGGTTCCACCAGGAGTCCCGATATATATGAACTTCTTCAATTGTTTAGTTTGCAACAGTTCTTTATTTTCACCATGTCTTGATCATTTGCCAGATGAGCTATTTCCTGCTATTGAATTTTAGCTCGGTGGCTGTTGCCCTCTTTTTCATACATTCTACATTCTGGAGCCAAAATTGAAAAGAAACCTTATAAGTATAAGTGTGAGTTTATAGATACAAGTTACAAGCTACAAATATTGTCTTGATCTATATTTAACACATATATAAAAATAATATATATTAATTAAACATTTTTTTAACATATATGTTAATAAATCAGTAAAAAAACAATGAAACTTTACATAATAACTCTTAAGCTAAATAATTTTGTTTTCGTTATCTTTGAATTTTTTGTCTACTTACTCATTCTAAGTGTTGCCTAGGACTATGTATTGGATCAATTGGTCAACTTTAGCGTCTAAAATGACATTTTCTTTCTCCAAAACCAGCTATTTCAGTTGTCAGCACTCTGATTCAGGTATGTTTGTCATGTCACAGAAAGATGATTAACCTGCAATGAATCATTCATGTTTCAAACATTATAATATTAGAAAATGTATCAATATAATATGGGGAAGTCAAAAACAGACGCGAAAATGTATTACAAAATAATTTTCGACGAGATAATTATGAAATTCCCAAACCTACGTTCAAAATATCAATGACGCCGAATACTACAACAATGAATTTATTCAAAAGCATAAGTTATTTATAAATTTACCAGTAGTATTTGAGAAAACATCCACTTTCTTTAGTTTTGGCTGATGGCAGGTGGTCTAGAAAAATACCACGTTGTGCAAATCACATATACACTAAATCGGCAACAGACATGTGCCCATATAGCACCGAAGTATTTTTTATGAAAACGACTTAATTACTCTTTACAAAAGCATCGATTTCTTGCTGAAATGAATTTGAGAAGAATATAGTAAAAAAACTTTAATTGAATAACAGGAAAAAATGTATATTGGACCTAAATTGGACCGATATCATCCTATCTTTAACAAGTTTGTCTATATCGGATATATATCGGTTCGATGGCGGAAAGCCGACTTCGATATTCCGACATTTAGCCGATATCGGCCCGATATAGATATGTTTGCTGGGTTGTGACCCTCTTGGGTGCGATATTTGTGTATTATGCAATTATATAGCGTGAAACGTAGGGGTCCGAGAGAGAACAGCCGATTTATGACACTTCGTTTGATGCGGGTGGGACTAACTCTGAATCGGCATAACTTTTTTAATAATCAAGCAATTAACATGCGGTTTTAAGCACATGAAAGGGAATTCATTTACAGAGGGAACCGTGTCAGGGATTTTTGTTAGCTCAATCAGCGACTTAATTATCTTCAATTACGTAATTTGTATAGTGAAAAAAGTTGCATAAAATGTTTGACGTTACGTTATATTTTTTTGAGGAAAGCTAGAAAAAAAATGAGAGAGGGTTCCCCAGATATTATAAGTATGTTTATATTCTGAAAGTTTAATGACAAAAAAATAAAAAATGACTTTGATATTACGATTTAAAATTTAAGGATTTTTATTCAAAATAAATCATTTACATATGCATGTTTTTCAAATATGTTATTTTTTATGATGATCAACAACATTTAATGCACACAGATTAATTGGATAACAATTATTACTAAAATAAGTTGGTTTAAATGACATTTATGTTAGTACCACGGAAAGTGTCTGTTGTCACCTTAAATGCGTAAATACCGATCGTTAAATTACGTAATAATATGCTATATTTGACTTATCCATACATAAATTTCATATCAAGAAAATAAAATAAACAAAACGGCCATGATGGCCCGGAGTCGCTCATCAGAAACAACTCCTTTTCAGTGTTGAAAATCATCCATTGTAAATATGTTCTTATATTAAATTTACCAATTTACCAATTTATCAAATTAATATAAAGTATCTTGATAAAAGTCTACCCAATAATGCTACAGACAAAGTTTGATGATCATCCATCCATTAGTTCTGTAGTAGAAGATGTTAAATGGTTTTTCTATTATTAGCTCTGTTGACCCCCAAAAGGGGCCAATTGAAATGACATGAGCAAATTCAAGTGTGACTGTCACAAGAATGCTAGGGACCAAATTTGATTGTTGACGCATGACGTTTGACGACGGACGCAGGAGCTTATAGCACACCCTGGACCTTCTGTACATGTTCTGGTGAACTAAAAAACTACAAAATTAAAATTAATTCTTGTTAAGGGGTAAAACAGCGGAATTTCAAATTGAATTGATATATCTATTTACGATTGTCTCTATTGCCAGGGCAAAAAGCTAGTGACTAAATAAATTTTTAATATTTCAATATGAAAAAGGTAAAGCCTCAAAGCGAGCTCGATTTACTTATACCGTGTCGTGAAACAGCATATAAATGATCGTTTATTTTATTTTACATTTTCCGTTTTAAAAGTGCCTTTCGGTATTTTATGCACTGCTTCCGTTTATTCTGGTTCCCTGTCCTATTATTGTTCCTATAATATCGCGCAGGACACCAGTCTTTGCATCCGTTTTCAATCAGAATTCCTCTGCTTTTATCGTTATGTTGTAATTCGAAATGTTGCGATGTGTCTATTCAGTACTTCTGACGAAAGTATTCAAAACCATGTAAAAAAATGATATATTAAGTAGAATATGAAATAAATATAAATATTGAATTGAAAATGTCACTTTACCAGCTTTAATGTTATATGTAGTGCATTCCATTAGCGTGATGTACGACACAGATGAAAAAGAATTGTTACTTTTTTTAATGCTTTAACATTTTTATTGAAATTAATTATATTCATATTATTTTTTTTTCTTTGGCTCAGTAATGCCTAAATCAAAATATTATTTATTCAACCAGTATCTTGCAATTAATTATAACGCAGCCGTTTTTCGAAACAATAGAATACTTACATTTTTGAAAC